CCCCCAAACAATAATACCAAACCCTCATCCTGGACAGGACTCTTGATATGGATATTATATTAACCCCAGGCAAAAAATGGCATGGAGTTCCCCCTTAACATTAGAAGCTTCCCCTTTTACATCAGAAAGCACCCTTGACATCAGAAGCTCCCTTTACATCAGGATCCCTACAATTCACACCAGAAGCCCCTTTCACATCAGGGTCCCTCCATTTCATATCAGAACCCCCCTTGACATCAGGGTCCCTCCATTTCACATCAGAAGTACCCTTCACATCAGGGTCCCTCCATTTCATATCAGAACCCCCCTTCACATCTGGGTCCCTCCATTTCACATCAGAAGCCCCCTTCACATCAGATTCCCTCCATTTCATATCAGAAGCCACCTTCATATCTGAGTCCCTCCATTTCACATCAGAAGCCACCCTTCAAATCAAAGCCCCCCCTCCTTTCCCATCAGAAGTCACCCTTCACATCCGAAGCTCTCCCTTTCACACCAGAGTCCATCCATTTCATATCAGAAGTCACCCTTAACATCAGAAGCGCCCTTCATGTCAGAGTCTCTCCGGTAATTTGAAGGCACACCTGACAAAGCCAGAAAGCACTTCAGGATGAAGGCTGGGTTAGGCAATACATTAAAAACTGACCACTACTGTGTATAGCTGGCACCTCTAGGCACTTACAGGTCTTTTACAATACCATGTGGAGCTCCAAATAATGGGGCACTTTTGTAGGCAAAGAGCAACCAGTCCATGTGGTCCGTGTCCCTGTCCTGCCCTATCCCACATACCTCACTAATGATTATTAAAGCTGCCCAACACAGCGATAGGCCAATAAGGAGGCACAGAGCCAATTATGATACATTTGTTACATTAATAATACAACATTTCTAATGTGACAGCCAAGGGGGTGGATTGCAGTAAAAAAAAAAAAAAGTATAAAGAATTAAAGTAGAACTGAAGCCAAAACCTAAGGGAGGGTTATAAGCACTGTCAGTTTTTGTCATATTTGTCCCATTGGGGAGATTTCCCTTCAATTCAGGAAGTGAGAGGAAATCCCTTTAAAATTAGAAAAATCCCTGGTGGTCAGCAGGGTCACCGGGCATAGTGTCCCCTTTGGAAGATTTGCCCATCTATTCCTGTTTTGGTAACCACTCAAAATGTGTGAGGTTTTTTTTCAGTGATAACGGTCACTAGGACAAATAGAGGACACAGATAGCAATAAAAACCTGACAAGTGTTCTAATCCCTCTCCACTCTTTCCAAAATAAAAAATTATAAGTTTGTCTTCAGCTGCATTTCAATGTGAAGGAGGACAAAATGAGGGTAGAGATGTCCACAGGTTTCGAACAATACAAATACAAGAATAGATGTCACATGGCCCCAGTGCCCTTCCATCCATGTCAGTGGTACGAACATGAATTTGAAAGCTTCTGCCTTTGGCTCAATTCATTACTTTCTGGCAACTATTCAGTTCAGTTTAATGGCTGCCATTCTGGGTTTGGTACTTTGGACATGCGACTTACATTAGCAGGAGGTCCAGCATTTTTGTGCATGCTGCAAAAGCCTATAATAGAAGTCACCAGCACTCGATGATGTGTGCAAGAAGTAAAGCACTTTTTTATTAAATTGTCACATGCGTCATACAGCCGTTTCAGGGCCATGCAGGGTCCCTTCTTCTGGGCCACATATGTCACTATGTCGCACCGGAATAAGGGACCCTGCATGGCCCCTAAATGGCTGTATGACGCATGTGACAATTTAATAAAAAGTGCTTTACTTCTTGCACACATCATCGAGTGCTGGTGACTTCTATTATGGACTGTATCTGACACGGTGCCATCCATGTTGTCACTTCAAGCACCAACCTTTCAACAAGGTGTTTACGCTGTATGGAGTGCAGGTGATTTCATATTACCGATTGCTGTAAGAGCCTGACACTAAATGCAATGCTCTGCATTTTAAGATCAGACAGTGTCAATCCTCCATTTTCCAACTGCAACTCAGACAGAACAGTTATGTAGCAAACAGGGAACGAAGGGTAAGAGGAGAGAGGTGGTGAGCAGTTCTAGTAGTGTCCTGTGTACAGGGGTGGATTTTCCATCATGCCACCTGCAGACTAGTGCCAAGGGCAGGATGGTTAGAGAGGAGGGGGTTTACTAACTGTGATAATTTTTTCCTTATGTCATTTATCTCTTCTCGAGACAACTGTAGTGGTAAAGGGGGGTGTTCAGAGGAATCAGAAGGTGCTTTATAGCTCAAAAAGCCACCCTGTTTCCTTTCTCTTGTTTGGCTCAGCCTGAGGGTGACACATAGAGGGGCCGGTATAACCTTTGTAAAGACCAAAGAGCTACAGAAAGACCCCTGGGATTTAACAGCCCATTAAGCCCTCATCCACAACTCTGTGATGCGATTCTGCAGGGGTGTTGCAAGGCTCGCTTGTTAAAGCCCAGTGCCAGGCATTTTCTTTTAACTAGTCCTCCAGCAGGGGTTAAAAATAAAACTCACCTACTCTCTGCAGTTATTTCTTTCTGCCACCAGAAATCCTCAGTCTCCTGGGGGATCGTTCACCTGGAGATTAGAAGACTGAGGACATATTGTGAGTGCAGGGCATCCTGGACCCACAACCTAATAGGGAGTCACCACAGTGCATTCACAGTGTAATAATTCAGAGAGCAATGCTGACTTCATCATATCAGCGCTGCTCTCTGGATTGAAAACCACCCACCGTAGAGAGGAGATCAAAAGAGGAAGCGGACCCTGTGCATCATGGCCTGAAGATACCTGAAAAAGGTCATGTAAAAAAAATACAGCAGAGACTCCAGAGCTGGGCTTTAAAGGATCATAAAGAAGTGTTGGATAGCACTGGCACTCAGATCTGAAAAACAATGCAGGGTAGACCCGCCACCTACCATCCAGGTAAGTATTCGGTTTAATTTATTAAAGTGTGCTTTGAGCTCACATTTTTTTTATCAAAACAGGGACATTTTAATAATGCTCATGGCTTCTAATGTCCACATGATGTGTGTACCTCCTTCATATGTATGCTTCTCATATTTGCTTTTGATGCCATTTGGATAGAAAATGTAGAAGATGTTAAATGTCTGACCCCATATTATGGACCATGACATAGTCCAGGGTAGGGGTGGGCAACTCTGACCCTCTAGCTGTGCTGTAACTACAAATCCCAACATGCTTATGTCTCTGGGAGCCATGGATGCAACTGTCTTGCAGTGCCTCTTAGGGGTTGTAGTTCCTCAACAGGTGCAGGGCTGGAGTTGCTCGCCCCTGGTCCAGGGCATCAGAAGGGATACCCTTCATCCGCATCTAACAAATATTTAATATACATGTTTTTGTACTTGGCACTCATATCAGGGGACCCAAAATCTTCTTTCACAGGTGTTCACCACTGGACACAAGTAAAGGTAAATGCATATTATATATCGGTCTTATCTAGCTGTTTGCCTGTTCACCTATCTCTTACATGTGTGTCTACAATTTGCATCCTTTAATCAATTTATACATTTTATATTTTCATTTCATATTTTCTATATTAAAAAACGATTGTGTACAAAAAAATGGATTTTCTGCTACTGTTGGAGTCTGGCAGACATCCAGGGACAAATCATCTAAATGTGGATGTGCCCCTGACAATCACATCAGCTGGCTTCTGACAACTACAATTAGAACAAGTATCCTTTAAATGTATTTTTTTTTACTAAGCCTATGATGGAGCTTTTTCTCTATAACTAATCATTTTAGTGCAATTTAATTTCGATGAAACATCATCCAGAGTAGCTATAGCATAGACTTATGATATTAAACAGTCATTTATTTCAGTCCTATAATTGTCTAGCTATAAATGAATATAAAAAGATATTTTGTCTGATGTATTTAAATGAATAAAGATCTGAGATCAGTCAGAAATCCTCTGCTATGCGCAGCGATGCCTGGTCCTGGCTGCATTCTGCGGTGTGCCGCTAGGGGGAGTGTGAGAACAGTGAGTTCCATAGCCGGAGCTTGCGGAGCGGACCGGCAATAAAAAGCATGCAGGCTGTTGCGCAAGGAGCAGAATTTGGCTGTGTGCTCCTGGTCTCCGGAGCATCATTCTCATCTCTACCCATGAAGCTGCCTCCCTGCCCGGGAAATCTCATTCACTGAGGTGCCTTGACCTGCCTCGCTTGTGCCAGGGACCAGACCTGCAGTTTAGGATTATTGGAGTTACCATGAGCCACTGCGAGCCTTCTGTGACCAGGAATAATAACTGTCCTATCACAGCTCTGAGGAATGAGAGCCAGGACTACCTGTTAATGGAGGCGGAGGATGGAGCTGACAACTCGGGGCACCACTATGGACACTACCACATGTAAGTGCCATCATGCTGTCTTAGATCCAGAGAGCACAGAGCTCTTCCAGGCACTGGTGGACCACAAATGCCAGCAGACCACTGGCTTCCCTCTGTGCCGGGCTTAATGGACACAGAATTATAGCAGTTGCCATTGCTGACTTGTATTTAGGAGATAAAGGGTCTGGCGTGGTCATCCTGAGCTGGAACAAGCATGATGCCAGTGAAGTCTGAAATGTCTGTACTTGTGCTCTTGTTGCATGGCAGGATTAGGATGATGACACCTTGCACCTTTTGGATACAAGGCAGCAATGGAAGTTTCAGTTTTGCAAAGCTTACAGGTTTTCTTTAAGGTATCCACAGACATCAGAAAGATATGTGCTGTTTAATGGATGGGTAGGCAGACGTCAGAGATAGATCTGTCATTTATTGGATAGGTAGACATGTGTCAGAGAGAGATCTGTCATTTATTGGATAGGTAGACATGTGTCAGAGAGAGATCTGTCATTTATTGGATAGGTAGTCAAACGTCAGAGAGAGATCTGGATAGGTAGACAATGCTTACAGGTTTACTTTAAGGTAGCCACAGACATCAGAAAGAGATCTGTCATTCAATGGATAGGTAGACAGACGGCAGAGAGATCTGGATAGGTAGACAGATGTCAGAGAGAAATTTGTCATTTATTGACTAGGTAGACAGACTTCAGAGAGAGATCTGCCATTTAATGTATAAGTAGACAGATGCCAGAGAGAGATCTGTCATGTATTGGATAGGTACGCAGACGTCAAAGAGGGATCTGGACAGGTGGTCAGACGCCAGAGAGAGATCTGCCATTCAATAGATAGGTAGACAGACGTCAGAGAGATATGTAATTTCAAGGATAGGTAGACAGAGGTCAGAGAGAGATCTGTCATTTATTTGATGATTATTCAGAAGATGTTTTGTGCACCCTGCATCTTCATTCACGTAGTATCTGCCTTATACATTGGGCTACACGTCTGCATATATACTGTATGTCCTTTTATAGACACTTATTATCCAAGGCTTCAGTTTTCTTCAACTTCCTTCCAAGAAAAGTAGGTGCAGTTTGCATAAAAGATCCTTAATCAGGGGCCAGCAAACATGTGATGGTATAAGACCCCCCTGGATCCAGGGACCCAGATGTAGAGGATGAACCTATAGGCAGATATCGCTACGTTTTCCAGTGTCTGGAACAATGGTTTAAGTCCTAAAAACCTTCAGACGGTTAAAGGAATTAGTCAGAAATGTTTGTATAAAGCTTATTGTCTATGGAAACCTTCTGTCCCCATTCACACTTGAGCTTTGGGCGTCTTTTTCCCTTTTCTTTGAGTGCTTGTATAGGCGTTTGTGTATTTGTTTCAGGCTGGAGGAATTTTGGAATAATGTTTAACCGATGGCTAGTTACTAGACAAGACAAGGTATGAAAAGTGCGCACAGCAAGCTTTTCGCACATTTCTTAATCATTCCCATTGAAGTCTATTGGGGCCAAATGCACCACTCTGCCCCAAAATAAGCTCATGTACTATTTTAAGCTACAGGCGGTTTGTAATAGAACACTCTGATGTGAACAGAATATATTGAAAACAACGGGATTCCTTCTGTTGAGCGTGGTAGCCCTCAGGCATTTGAGTTGCAAGACACTGAGGTGGACTTAGATAGCTTTTGGGCACGTTGTAGAACCCTAGTTACCAGTGATCTCTGATTCACAGGTTGAGAAATGTCCCTGGAAATGCCAGCGTTTCTAAAGGCAGCTACTGCTGGATAATAATTATTCTATATCACTTTTTCTCACCAGGGAATGAAAGCTCTTATCACAATGGTATTAGGATCTTTGAAGAGAAGATGTAACAGGTCTGGGGGAATAGATAAAGCTTTGCTCTCCCTGATTTTCACATACAGTGGCCATTTAAAGACCCAAAAGCTCCATTTCCCAAATGTAATACATGCGCTACAGTTATGTATATTTTAGCCTTCTGACAGCATCCCACATGTGATTTAGGAACAAGGCGTCCCTAGAAGCTATTTATAACCTTTAGTCTGCATTCATACCTGAGCCTGAGCATTTACATCTGTAAAAAATAAGTCAAGGCAGCTGGACTTGCTGTATTTGTCTTGAAGACGTTTCACTGGTCATACAACCAGCTTTCTCAATTCAAAATGACTTGTACAAAAATGATCTGGGAATAAATATGGTGAATGTTGCTCCAATCCACATAATCTGTTGCTCCAATCCACATAGTCTGCAACCAGGTGTCGATTGCATTTGCATAATTGGAGTATAGGATGTGTTATTAACCTGCCCAGAGTCTCACCCCCCCCCACCTCTATTAACAGGCAGGTTATTAACACCTCCTAGACACAAATTATGCAAATGCAATCAGCACCTAGTTGCCATTAACAGATTATGTGGATTGGAATAACATTCACCATATTTATTCCCAGATAATTTTTTGTACAAGTCATTCTGAATTGAGAAAGCTGGTTGGAAGTCCAGTGAAACGTCTTCAAGATAAATACAGCAAGTCCAGTTGCCTTAACTTATTTTTTACAGATACACCATGACCTGGATGAATGAGAACCTTCATGGACATACTGACATACTGAGCATTTACAGGGGTACATTTTAATTTGTGCGTTTTTGCGGGGTTTTTTTTAAGGCGTTTTCAGGCTTGAGCGTTTTTCTTTTAGCCAATGGAACACTACATAGTAAGGAGGGGAGATGATTGTTTAGCCTTAAAAAACGCTTCTTTTTAGGGCTATTGAGGTGCTTTCATTGAAGTCTATAGGGCAGAAAAGTCACTATTCTGCTTCAGAAGTAGTTTAGGTACCTTTCTGATTGTCAGGCGTGGAGCTCCCGGTGTCTGAGCAATCAGATGTGAACAGGCACAATATAAAAGCATGGGGTTTGGGTTGTTGAGTGTTTTAGGCTTTGAGGTTCAAGCTACAGATGTGAATCAAGGTTTATCAAGCACACGTTCCTGCATGTTGTGTTTGCGGCTGATTCCCAAACCAATATATGTGCGTTATTTACTGGGTGAAAATGTGATGCAACTGGTATTTTGACCAGTCACGAGGTATTGTTATACTCAGGGCTCAAAATTTCTACTCGCCTGCTCGCATTTGGCGAGTGGAAATAAAGAGACTCATCAGAAATCCAATGTAAACTCACATAGTATCCCCCTTAGAGTGTATCTCTAAGCCAGGGGTTAGCAACCTTGACACTCCAGCTGTTGTCAAACTACAAATCCCTGTCATCCTGCATTGCAAGACTCTGACAGCCACAGACATGACTCCCAGAGGCAGTTGCATGATAGGTTTTGTAGTTTTAAGACAGCTAGAGTGCCGAGGTTGTCTACCCCTGCTCTTTTTTTAAACAGTGGGTAAGGGTTACATCCTCTGTTAATTGTTTATTGCTGTCCATGTCCCCACAGAGGAGATTCATCCCTCTAATGGTACTGGTGACCACTGTCACTGAGAAAAAAAGTTGGGGAAATCTAACATTGTCCTCAGAACAAGAGGTGAGGGGACACCTTCCAATGGGGACACCTGCTGCGGAGACAACTAAGAGGGGAATTCCCCTCACTTTGGGAGATTTCCTTTAACTTCCTATTGGGTCTCTGGGATGGGAAGTGAAGGGAAATTTCCTTAGTGGTACACAGTCAGCAAAACAATAGCCTGGCAGCAGTTTTCATCCTTCCCTACGCTATGCAAAACTAAAAAAAAGTTTTGTCTATACATATAATTTAAAACATCTGAAGCTTCTGACAGGTGATGAAGTGAGGTCCACTGAGCAGAGGCGTACCCAGGCCAGTGCGACGCATGACGTCATTAACTGCCAGCAGCCATCTCTGTGATGGACAGCGGCAGGCAGAGGAGGGGACGTTCAACAGGCAGGATAAGATATGCCGCCGGGTACCCCTCCAATCTCGTACAGATGTCAGGCTCTTGGTCCATGGCCGAGTGCTCAAATTTTCATAGTGGGTGACACCAAAATGACTGTCAGTCATTTTGGTGTCACCCCCTCTAATGGTGTCACCCAGTGTGGGCTGTGCTCCGCTCTTTATGCCACTGAGGTGTCTGTTGCGCTCACAATACAATCTGATTGTCCAATCTCCTCAAAACTGGGCCCTTACCTGTGCAATATTACATTGAGCGTGCCTTGCAGCACTATACATTACAAGAGAAAAAAGTTTCCCAGCACACTCACCAGCCAGCATGCAAAAAAACTTGTCCCACCGCTAAGGTTAAAAACAGAGGTTTGGATACACGTCTTCTGCAGAAAATGTGAAAACCGCACAGCCTCGCCAAGGCACCTCTTATAGTGCGGTCCTAACTCTGAACTATGAGAGTCTATACATGTTACCATGCGTTGTAGTAGGATGGCCTATTTATTTGAATTGGCTGCCTACCACATCTAAACTGCACCAGGAGTGCATGACTCATTGTTTAAATTGCATTGCAACGCTGTGCATGGTAAGAAGTAACCATGGGCATGTGGTGTGATGCAACACACGTGATTGCTTGGGGTGTTGGGAGGCCATTAAAAAATTTATGACACCGCTCAGTTTAGTGTAAAGCGGGAACACACGCATATCCGCATAGCACAGATGTGACCAGGGGCTTAGATTTACTAAAAACAAAGTAGCGCAGAAGTTGGTAAGCTCAGCTCTCCAGCTGTTGTGGAACTACAAGTCCCATGAGGCATTGCAAGACCCGGATTGCCACAGACATGACTCCTAGGGGCAGATGAGTGACGGGATTTGTAGTTTCCCCACAGCTAGAGTGCCGAGGTTTCCAACCCCTGATGAAGCGCAAGGGCCTGCGTGACTGGATGTGAACTAGACATGTACGTTTTGTTTTTGTTTTCTTCTGAATTGAGATTTGGACAAATTTTTTTAAATGTGGACATTAGGATGCATCCAAATTTCTGAGTGGCAACAATAACGAATTGTAATGTATCCAATTTTTTTGCTAACGAAAATCTGGATGCGTCTGAATG